TTATCGATGTATAGGTAGGAATAACCTATTTCCATACAAAACATATTACACTAAGTTGTTTTTTTTTCTTTCCATCTCTTTTTAGTTTATTATCTTAAAGTATGGTTAAGCCATCTTATGTATTCAGACAAAAGTTGAGTGTTGTATATGTGGTATTCTTTTGTAATTCTGTTTGGGAATAAGGAGGTAACGTTAAAATAAAAAAAGCCCCCCAAATGAGTTTTTGGAGAAATCAGATCTTTAAATAAGTGTGAATCAACTTGGTAAATACTGAATGAAAAGACTAATTACTGTTCAGTAGGATTTGGTCACTTTACTTAATTTTCAGTACCTTGAGTAAAATAACAAAATGAATTAAATTGCTTCATGTGAATTTCCTTCAAGATGAGAAACACTTGATTGCCTTTGAGCTGTTAACCTGGTGTACTGATGAAGCACTGGAGATTAGATCAGAAGAGATGACTATAGTGAACTTCTTTTTGTACATGGATTGTTTCCTTTCCCTTTTTCTATTGGCCTGACCGAATATATGGCTTCACAGTGTTGGAAGTGGTTGGTTAGACTACCGGATAGGTGACATGGAGTCCATTGACATGACACGTACCCAAATAGTGACACACGTAATTGGCAATGCTTCACTGAGGCTACAGCTGTTTTTCTTGATGGTTAGTGCCTGAAGATGATCTAATCAAGCCTGCGTAGAGCCAATTAACAGTGCCCAATTAGGTATTCCATCTGGCTTTCAAGTTTTGCGGCTAGAAAGCTCGGAGAGGAAAGCATCTCTTTCTTCCGGATGGCGAGTATAAGGAGAATGCTAGTGGCAATGGAATGCTGGCTATCCTTTTAAAAGAATTTGAAGAGATCACGGGTAGAAATTTGAGTAGACAGCAAAAAGCGTTTTTTCCACTTGATGTCTTAAAAAGAGATATAGGAAATACCTTCCTGTCTACCACTATTTTGGCTAATTATAATGATGATAGCTATCATATTTTGGCTATTTTTTAATGTGCCAGCTGTTGAGATAAGCACTTTACCTAACACTGTAGATCATTATGACCATTTTATAGCCGGGCTGCTACTTTTACTTTTCTGAGCCCCTGTCTCGAGAAAGGGACAGGCGGACTTGGAGATTGTAACTCGGGTCTGTTTAACTCCAGAGTCCTCACTCCTATTACTGTCTTACATGCATTCGCCTAGATAAATTCTGTTTACGTGGTTCCTTTGTCTGATAATGAGTGGTCATCATAGCTTGTCTTCTACTCAGTTTGATGGGAACCCATTTATCGTAAGACTCTGTTTGACTGATGTTATGATGGTTCACATCCAGGGCAGGAACAATTGTTGAAGGGTATAGAGGCTCACAAAGAAAAAGTTATGCTTGCTTCTGAGATAAGGTGAGCCTGGTTTTCTGAGTATAAGCAAATACAGGAAACAGAAAGAGCAGCCAATGAAGACAACAAACTTGAATAATCTTGAGTAGGTCAGTTGGATTGACTATCTTACCCAATGCCTTCCTAGTGTCAGATCCTCCTGTAGTTCCCATGCCTTCCTGATAGAGCCCTCTATGGCTCTCTCTGTTTGTGCCTTTGCCTGCTTGCCTACGAGTGACAAGAACATCGGCAGTAATAGCTGACATAGCCAACACTTACGGACCTCTCATTTTACACATATGTTGTCAGATACCAACAATTTTATTTTTTAACTACCTCTGCTCAAGTGGAAATAATCCTTTTGAATCTTTACAATATACAAAGATAATAAATGAACTATTGATTATGGCAAGAGTCTTTCATTAATCATTAGTTTTCAGGTTCTTGGGATAAAGTAGTCACATGCATTATCTCATTTAATTTTTAAAACAATCTTGATCATCATTTCAAAATCAAGTCAACTGAGACTCAGAGGTATTAAGTAACTTGCCCAATGTCACACAGCTCAGTAAGGGAATAAGACTAGATTGAAACCTGGGTCTGCGGATTCTAAACCTGGTGTGCTGAACCAGAAAACTACTAGAGCCTTATAGAAGATTGTCAGACTTAGTTCTTTGGTTTTAGACAACTATGAGTCACAGAGGATGCCAGCTGTGGCCCGAAGATGTATGGTTTATTAAACATATTTGATTTGGGGGCTGCCTTTTCTTTTTTTTTTTCTTTTTGGTGGTTGGGAGCAGAATGCTGCTGTTTGCTGAAGGCCCATCTCTGTCACGAGGCTGCTTCACCACACCCAGCTTTTCTGCCAGGCGCATAAAGACATCTGAACTCACGATTCTGGTCTCCAAGGTCAAGAACAGAGTTCACGCTTTCCTCGAGTGTGTTAAGAAAAGATTCCAGAGCCACCTTCCCTGGGATGTTTTGTTACCCTGCCAACATTTAAAAACTATTACTTGCTTTTAGTTTTAATCGGCTTCTTCCTCCCTGCTCAATCCTATCAACAAACAGAACAACTGCTCGGAAAACTTCATGTCCAAGAATACAGTTCTTACATTCTCTCTTTGCATCTTGTCCTTAAACCTTTCCTCCAGGTAACCCTGTCTTCCCTTTGATCTCTCCGCTGACTGACAGGTAGTTAGCATCTCTGACTGGCAGATGGGTGCCTCTGCCACATGGGAGTATCATTATACAGTGAAGCTAATACCTACAGCCTGGATTTATTTAGCATCTTCTGACACTCAGAAGAGCCAGGGAGCACACGCCTTGCTTTCCCTTGGGATGGTGGAATGTTCTATTCAACTGGGGGGAGAGATTTGAATATGCTTAAAAAACAGCCTTTGTATTTAGGCTCATGGATGTTCTTAGAAGTTCTTTATTACCTTTATTTTCAGAGTGGGTTTGAGAGACTTTTAGCACTTTTGGAAGTGATATGTCATTGCCACATTCCTTGTTCTTAAAAAAAAAAAAGAATTTAAAATCAACTACCTACTCTGGATTTCCTTTTTCAGATGCAAAAGAAATGGTTTTAAAAGCCCAGATCTTAGCTGGAGGAAGAGGAAAAGGTGTCTTCAGTAGTGGTTTGAAAGGAGGCGTTCATTTGACGAAAGAGTAAGTCTGGAGGTTTTAATTCCTTGTCTGTGGGCCAAGCAGTTGTGGGAAATCTTACTCATTATTGAAAGGAGCACGGAGAGAGGGCTGGGATGGGGGATCGGCGCAGTAGCTAGCGAACAGAGGAGACAAGTTCTCGGTAGGCTCTGGCAATGCCCCAGTTTTCCTTCTGCTCCCATGAAAGGATTTTCCTCCAGTCATTGTGGAAAACTCAACACTCCATCTCTCCTAGACAATCAATGATTCATTACAAATGTTGGAAATGATACCTCCAACAAATTAAATACCGCTTTCATTATGTCACTCCCCATTCAAGGACTGCAGCGGCTCCTGTTACCAGTGGCATCAGTTCCTTCCTGTCTGATGGAGTTCACGTTTTCTTGTATCTTTCCTGAGCCGACCTGTTCAGTCTTAGCTCCTAGGCCTCCAGCACTGAACACTTTCCTCTCCTCTCAGGTCACATACCTTTCATTATTTATTGTGATTCTTACCCTCACCTTTATCCCCCTCATCGGCCAATGCTTCCCAAATCACCCACTATCAAGTCTATGTTATTCAACTCTTATCTAAATCTGTTATGCATTTCAGCATTGTCTCTACTATGACTAATTTATTTGGGGGCAGAGGATAGCAGAGGTAAGCAAGCATCTTCCCTCTCTATCTCCCTCTTTCCTTCTCTCCTTTCCTCCCTCCCTCCCTCCCTTCCTTCCATTTCTTTCTTTTGCTCTGTAAGACTGATACAGTGCTAGGAACATAGTGTATGAGCAGAAAGTCCCATGGATTCTGGGCATGAAGGTGTACCCTTGGCAGTGGGACATGAAAATATAGTATGGACTTTGCTTTAAAATGATTTTCAACATAGATGTTGATTTTCTTTTTTTCCTCTCTTTCTTTTTTTTTTTCTCTCTCTCTCTTAGCCCTAAAGTTGTGGGACAGCTGGCTAAACAGATGATTGGGTATAATCTAGCAACAAAACAAACTCCAAAAGAAGGTGTGAAAGTTAACAAGGTAATATGAATGTTTTTGGTCATTTTCTATGTACGTGTTTAAAAAAAAAATCATGCTTCAGTTTTGACAAAATCTAATGAAGCAATTCACTTTGGCAACATGCCATTTTATTTTTAAACCTCATGTTTAGTATATGGAATGACTTTGAGGAGAAATAAAAATGTTCTATAATAGTAATATGATTAATTATCACCAGCATGTAATAAAAGTGGGCGGAGGCGAGTAAGTGAAGCAATAGCTTTCTCTTTCAGAATGCAGACACATTCTGTTAAAGCTGAAAAGGGCTTGGTGTGACTGCTGTCATCCTCAGGGTGGGATATTCTCTGCTCGCACACAGCCCCACCTTCAGTCCCAGATATCAGAATGACCTGTTGTGGTTGTTTTTCTAAGGGCATCTATCCCTTACTATGTTGTTTGTTGTATTAGTGAGGTCTCCTGGGGCACCCACATGTATATAGGTAGACACACACACACATACACACGCGCGCGCACACACACACATACACAGAAAATAAAGCCCAGAGCACAGTGGCCTGCCTCAGCCGTGAACTTGTGAGGGACGGAGCTGAGGCCAGAGCCTGACTCTCCCATTGGTCTGCTCACCTTTGCCGTGCCCCGCTCACGGATCCAGGCACCAGAACTGGATACCTGATTTGCAGGACCGAGTGCGAAATAAAATCATGCGGATCCTTGTTCAAATTTCAAGTGAGCCACAGCAGGACATTTATCCAAGAAACCAAAAATGTGACCCTTCTGAGCATGGGGCCCTGTGCGATTACACAGGTCACCCACCCCAACCCTGGGAGGCACGGATGGTTAGAAGGCCCCGTTGTAACAGGGAATTATGGCCCAGCATGGTGGGAGGCATCTGTCTGCTCTGTCATGGCATTCTGGGAGAGCTCACATCACACATGGTGAGCTCTCCCAGCGTGCCGTGCATGGGGATACTGAGGCTGGTTGTTAGTGTACCACAAGAGTGTCTGTCCTGTTCCCAAAAAGGACACTGAGCTGGAGGAGATTGGAATATGGCAGTCATGAGCTACTTCACTCTAAGAACACAAAGCCTTTCCAATTGCTAAGGAAGCACACACACAAAACGGTGATGGTTGTGTCCCTTTCCCACTGCCTCTCAGGGAGGTGCAAAAATGTTTAAAACTCAGATATGTCCTTTTGCTTTAGTTTTGTTTGGCCTGGCACAGTACTTTTATTTCTCTTTTAAATCTGGTTATGAGCCTTTACCTCTGTAACTTCTTCAAAATTTGTAAACAGAGGACATAATTACTAATTTTGTTTGTAAGAATTCGTTGTTTTTTATGGACACATGGGTTTTTTTATTAGAGTTTGTGATAATTTTTAAAAGCATATAAAAATACTCAAAGAAGATTTACCCTATGTAGATAGATAGGCCTCAAATTAGTTTGTAGATAGGTTCCTGAAATACTGGCGATAAATGCATTCTTGTAAATTGAGTCATTGTCAGGAAACTACTAGAGTGATTTATTTTTAAGGAGCTTTTTTTCTGATTGCAAAAGTGATTAACATATGTAAAAAATTCCAGTAGTACAGAAATATAGAAATTAAAAAGTAACAGTTCTTTGTATTCTCACCACACAGATATAATTCTCATATGTTGTTTCAGTCCTTTTTCTGTGTAAAGTGTGTATTATCACATTTCCATAACAAAAACAATTTATACTATACTTTAAGGAACATGCATTTTTTACTTGCAGACAGACTCTTGGACATCAGTCTGAAGTCCCCAGATTATAGAAGCTTTAGATTTCTAAGTTTGTTTGAGAGGTTACTTCAACACATAAACACATCTCAACACATTGGATATGTTTTTCTAAATCTGTGGCTATGTGTTACTGGTGTGTCCCTTGGGACAGTGATAGGGGTAGGGAGGCAGACAGTGCTGTTCGCCATGTGCTCCCTGGTCCAGTGCCAGTCATGGGTAATGCTCTGCCATGAGGTGAGTTCAGAAACCCAGAGGATACTTTTAATCTTCTATAACCACGATCGTGTTACAAATAGTGTATACACTGCCACTCATCTATAGAGTCCACCATTTGAGTAACACAATATTAGACAAACAAACAAACAAAAACCGATTCAATGGTCAAATTTAGGTAAAGTAAGTTAAAAAGCTTTCTATACTGGAGGGGTCCACAAAGAGGCTGCATTGATGAAACGCTTCGTGTCAGCCACAGATGAAGCTTTTTTGAAATCCATCTAACTGAGCTTCCCATGGGATGAGTGTTCATGGAGCCCATTTAGATTCTCTCTGTAACAACTTCTAAAATAATCTGACATCCTGGGTAATAGGATGACATAATAATGTAAAAAAATTAGTCTATATAAAATGCTTGGGTTGTCTATTGATAATCATCCTTTCATGGGGATAGTTTCTTAAAGAATGATACATCATTTCTATCAAGCAGGAGCTGTTTGAGACAGCAGCTGCTCTTTACAAATAGGAATTTGATGGAGTCCAGAGCACATCTGTCAACATTTTAGAAGAATAAGAATAGGACTCTTGAATGATGCTATTCCTCAAAAGTTATAATGTTGTGTTGCTTCTAAGAATAACTAGTGAAAGTCATTAAGTCTTGTTCACTAGACTAGCTCTGTATTACAAAGTGAACTTGAAATCAGAGTGGTTCTAGATAATCTAACACTGTATGTCAGGAAATATTACTTACATACTCATGAGGTACCATTTGTGACAAAATAATTAATAGGAAGCCCTTTGTAAGGTATTTTGTTTTTAACTGGTGATAAATTTCATAAACGTTAGAAAAGGAGATCTATGTTCATTACATTATACCTTTTTAGGTCATCGTATATTTATACCATTTCATGTGACTTAAGACAGTGTTTTTGTGGCATGGGTCGCTAACATATAATGCCATTTAATCTAATGTTTCTTGTGAAACATATTATTGAACTACTTTTAGGAAAAGCAGTGTAAGCGTTTTTATTATTTTCACTTCTAGTACTGATTATATATAAATGTTCTTATTTTCTTTTAAAAGTCATCCAAGACATCTTTTACCATTCTTGTTGGGAGTGTAAGCTGGTACAGCTTGTCTCTCCTGGGCAATTTGAGAGTATTTACCACATTTTAAATATGAAGAATCTAAAACTTAGTCATTTTACTTTTAGGTACCTTATCTACAAGGATACTAAAACAAATGAGCAAAAGATACATGTATAAAAATAATCACTGAAGTAGCATTTTAGAAAAATTGAAGCCCACATTAATGTAGGGAGATGGCTAAAAAATATTGACATGTAAGTACCATATAGTCACAATGAAGAGAGAGGATCTTGGAAAGATGTCAGAGTTGTAGTATTAAGATTAAAAACAAGAAGACAGGCAGGGATTCAAGGACACACCATGTGCTTGCACGTGCAGGACCATCCCTTGGCTGTCATGCTTGCAGATGCATAGAAAAAAGACTCAAAAGTTGATAGTGGTTTTCCTGTTAGAGTTGCTGTGCAGAGTTGTTACAGTGGTACACAGAGCCAGAGCACTCCTGGCTGAGACAGTGAGTGGGGAGCACGTCCTTCCACCCCACTTGCCTTTTGTCCACTCATGGTCCTGGCATGTGATCACATCCTCGCAGAGAAAGGGGCAACTTTTTCTCATTATCACAAAGGTTCCATATGGTCTCAGGACCATGCTGACCACTGAGGCCCAAGGGGCACATATGTGCAGCAGGGGGCTGCTTTCACTGCCTTATTTATATGTACTTTTGGGGTCACTTGCGTTCATTCTGAACAAGCAAATATTATGTTTGTAATTTAAAAGAAAGTGTAAATTGAAATAAAAATACAGTGATCCAAGGGACAGAAGTATACAAACCTATGAGGCATCAGACATACTGTAAAAAGAATCCTTCTTTGGCAACCAAGTTTGGTTTTCCACCAGTGCAATTTGAGAAAAATCAGTGTGATAATTCATATGTACTGACAGTGTCTCAAATTAAAATAACAGCTGCTTCCCTGGAGTTTTTCTTAGGTGTCAGGGTTTCTCAAGGAAGAAAAAAAGATTAAAGTAGGACAGTTCCTTGAGGCAAACCGATACCTGTCACCGAGCAAGTTAACAGGATCAATTAAGGAGGTGAAAATGGGCATTGTGCACGTGAGAGTCTCTGGAAGCTTGCTGAAGTCTCTGTGGAAGCTCGCTCACTGGGTTTAAAGGGCCTGACAATGAAGCCGTTTGATTTGTGTAGCAAGTTTGTATAGATTTCGAAATGGAAAGCAGTTTGATGCTGAATTAATTTGACTTCACTGCTAATGTTGCAGGTGATGGTTGCTGAAGCCTTGAACATTTCCAGAGAAACCTACTTCGCGATTCTGATGGACCGGGCCTGCAATGGCCCTGTCCTGGTGGGCAGCCCCCAAGGGGGCGTTGACATTGAAGAGGTGGCAGCGTCAAGCCCAGAACTCATTTTTAAGGTAGGTTTTGATGCCTGGTCATGCTGTGTTCATCAATTGCTGTTATAGAAGCTATTAAATATTTAATGTGGAGTCTGAGGCCGGTAGCGGTATATCTCTTTCTGGGATTTAAGGCATGAAGATAGAGAGTTCTTTTTCGTACTGGGCATCCAGTTGCAAGTTGGTAGAACCAAGGTGTTCACCATGCAAGGCTTTTTTGTTTGCTTTTCCCTTCCCTCCCTCCCTCTTTCCTCCTTCCTGCCTTTTTTTCCACCCTCGTTTGTTTCCATCCAACCTGTCCCAAGAATTAAGCAGTGAAGAGGCCTGTGATATTTCCATTTCCTCTAGGGTAACTTTACCTACTTAACAGTATGTGCTATCTAGAAGAATCTCTCCAAGGAGACCAGATGAGAACTTGAGACTGCCTCAGTATCTCTCAACACTATTGATGTGAAATAGTAGCCTTCTAAAGTCCAGATTCTTTGTTTCTCTCAAGCCTTTAAATCTTTTCCTTTTATTAAGATTTAGTTTCTAGTCAAAGCTATCTGAGGTCACATCCTAACTAGCCAGCCAGTTTCCCAATGTCTCTAAACTTTATTTTTTTTAATCAGTAAAATGAAAATGGTGGTAATTGCTACGTCATGAAATGCGGTATGAGGATGAAATGAAGTGGTGCGTATAAAGTGCTTCTGCAGCTACCTCAGCTGTGGGAAAGAAAATCTATGGGCTTCTGAGCTATAATTCCAGTTTTTAATTCTGGGCTCTTTGTGTCCAAAAAAAATCGCATTCAAAATGTCTACCAGAAATACTCATTATTTCATTTGGAAAGTGATTTTGTTTCCCCTCAAAAAGTGGGAAATTTACTTCTTGAACCTCTTTGTGTAAAGTACTGATAATTTGGTTTGAAAATATTATTCCCAATGTTACGTATTTAAGTTAACTGCCTTGGAAGTTGCATTGAGACTTTACATGCTGGTTTACGAATGCAGGCTAATCCCGCTGGTCAAAAGTAGAGTTTTCCTATGAAACCCTTTGTAAGCCGAAATAGAGTAAAGCAAAGAAGCTTTTACCTTGGGACACATCTTGCTAATTATGCACAAAATAAATGAAGATAAAGCAGAGATGCTCACAAATACAGTTCAGAGCTCTGGTGCTGAGACGCTGAGTGTGGCTCTCGGAGGAGGAGCGTGGCAGGGCCAGGGCCACTCTCAGGGCTGCAGGCGCATTGCCTCTAGTTGCTTTTTTTTTTTTTTTAGTATAAGTGAAAACTTCTCTTGGGATCTTTTTTCAGTTAGAGAACACAGGTAAAAGTGAAGTGGTGTAAAGCAAACTTTCAGAAAGTGGAGGATGCCTGTAATGCCTAACCATTTTCAAAATGAACATGACTTAATCTATTCCATTTGTTAGGAGAATACATGAAATCATGTACACTTATGAGCCATGCTTAGTACCTAGGAGAGGATGGCACTTCGTAGCGCTAAGGTAGTCATAATTATCATCAGCAGCAGAGTGTGTAAATCATAAGGTAATATTTAACCTATGTGACAAGCTCTAAACCTAGCAGCAATATGAGGCAGGAAAACCTTACTTTGGAAGCCTTCCAAAGATGTCATAAAAATTTACCGACTAAATATTTGTCAATGCCATCTGTATAGTAATTAAAAGTGAAAACTGGCATCCAATTGTCTTGTCAACATGCCACCCTGAAGAATTATATAGTTTTTGGAAAGGCTTTTTTATAGATGGTCTGCTAATTAAAACATACCCTATAGGCAGCTGCAATAGCCCCACTCAGAGATCTCTGGAAACGTGCCACACTTTAATTAGTAATTTGTAAGTAAATATGAAACATTTTCTTGTGAGGCTGTAAGTCTTCTCACTTGACTATCTGAATTTTGTTTATTTGATTTATTTTTACAAGGAGCAAATTGACATTATCGAAGGGATAAAGGACAGCCAAGCTCAGCGGATGGCAGAAAATCTAGGCTTCCTTGGGCCTTTGAAAAACCAGGTACCTGAGCGATTGGGGGCCAGTGTGTCTGACTTATTTCAGAAAACATTTGCAAACTTGCTTAATTGTCTCTGATGTTTGCGATTACTATTTCTTGTTTTATATTATTTTTCCTCCAGTTGTTTATGATGAAGAAAGTATTTCCCTGGTGTTTCGAAAGAGGATGTTTATTACATGTGTGAATGTGTGTGAGATGTGTGTGAGTGTGTTTCACCTCCAGACACTTTATGTATGCTAGTCTCTTTGTTTTTTTCCGTTGCATTGCAGCCCCACCCATGAATTACAAAGGGCAGCATAGTGGCAAGAAGCCCAGGCTATGTACTCAGGCAGACCTGAGTTTGAATCCTGTACTGCTATCCAGCACGTGTGTGATTCAGCCCATCTGAATGTCAGTTTCATCATCTGTAAAATGGGGATGATGAAATCCTAACTGAGAGGGTCAGTGTGAGGACTGAGTATGCAGTTGTGTGAAAGTGCTTATTCGTCCTCCTGAGAGGTCAGTTGTTTTTGTTATTAATAGTACACTTTACTTTAATTGATTGTTATTCTTTCATAGCTAATGGCCATTTGAGATGTGTATTTAGGTGGCATGCAGGTGATGTTTCACTAAAAACAGCTTAAAATATGCCAATTTAGTAATTACATCCCTTTCTATCAAAGACAGAACAATTGGACTCTGAGTTATTAGGGGAGCGTCTGTCTTGAGCATCACAGTCCTGCCCTTGGTCCAGCCCGTGCAGCCTCATCACATGTCTGCATGGGCAAGCGTTTGTGTTTCTCAGCTCAGTCAGAGAGTTAGGGGCTGTTTTTTCCTCCTTCTTTACTCTGTGTGTGTGTGTGTGTGTGTGTGTGTGTGTGTGTGTGTTCCCCTAAGGCTCTGGAATGGTTACAAAGCATTTCCTATAATTTAGTTGGGCAGCATTGCTCCCATAAAATAGTCCATTTTCTTTTTGTCTTTACTTTATCTTTTGATTGACTCTATTTCTAGAGGTTTAAGAGTGACAATAAGGCAAACCGTAGAAGAGTGAAGCACAATAAGACTTTAAAGTGTATATATGTTTAAATTCAGAGGAGAGAGCACTTATTTGAAGATGGGAGGAAAGGCTCCCTTAGAAAGCAAAAGATTCAGGAGGTCAAAAGGGACAGGTTCATCTGGGACTAACCCTCAGTAGGAGCCATAAAGATTCAGGATTCAGGGGACAATTAGGGGCACTGAGACTGGCAAAGAGATGCCAGGCTGGTGATCTTTTGAAAGGAAAATATGGGATGATTCCTGGGTAATGGCCACTGTGGTTTGAGAACGAGGCCATAAGTATAGTTTTTATTTATTAAGAGGCTCCGTGTATGGGGTGGCTGTCACCCAGCCATGCGCCCACTCAGCCATTGTTCTCCCTGCTGTCCTCCAGGCAGCTGCACAGTGTGCTCAGTGACCCTGTTTCTGTTCTCCACACCCCTTTGCACATCTGTATTTCTCTTCCTCATTGGCAGTCCTCTTTGCTGGACCCTAATCTGTGCCACTGCAGGGACTTTTCGATCTTCCTGACTGCTGTGTGGCCAGCAGAATGCTTCACAGATACATACATGACGAACTGAAATGACACATCTAGGATATTCACTTTTCAGAGCTTCCTCGGGAGTTCGCGATAGGTCACTGTAAGGAGAATGAATCTGCCGACCACAGGGTTTGAGAGCTCAGGAGCTGAACATAGCAGAGAGTTCTACAGAAGGCAGTAATAGTATTCCATGCATCAGAAGATGTTCCCCCCGCCAATATTATAAGAAAAAATTAAGAGTTATTTATAGCAGTTAAATGGCTAAATCATGTTTTCCCAGTGCCCTGAACACTCTAGGTTTTAAGTGAATTAGCTATGGAAGGAAGATGATCAAGCACGTTCTCAGGGGTCATTACTATTAGTAGCTAATTGTCATGATATTTTTAGCTTCATATATAGGAGAGGAAAGAAATTTTTTCATTCATATATTTTCTTCTTTCATTGCTGACTACACAAAAGGCTTTAAATCTTCATTTGCTCAGCAAAGTTGGAGTGAGCACTGAGTGGGTGCAGTTCTCTCTGCTGGGCCCTAGGTAACAGAGACAAAGAGTGATAACCATTAGCCTTCAGGGGCTAACCTAACAGTGGAGGTCAGCCCACTGGCAGTGGTTACAGGAAGAGAGAATGTGAAGGGGAGAGAGAGAGAAAGACTGTGATTTCAGTTGTACATGTGTTAGAATTTGGTCATTAGGGACCCTTGGTTATATTTGTACAGTAGAAGGTGGAATATATGACACAGGAGCTAGGAAAACTACACTGGGGTTGTAGATTTGGGAATCTCTGCTTTTTGATGCTTCCTGAAGCCATGGGCATTGGCGAATGTTCTGGAAAGCCAGTGGAGGAGGCACCTGAGAAGAGAAATCATTTTAAATGATCATCAAGATTACCAATTACTGATCCTTTCATAAAGAAATGTTATCTTAGAGGTCCCTTAGATTCAGTATGACTTTGAAACTTGTTTAATTTTCATTCTAGGATGTACTTTAGGCATTTGGAGGTACCTCACTCATGGATGAACAATATATAAAATAATTATCTTGTAGATTTAATATCTGTTTTCCTTTGACTCATTCCTGTTATCTCTAAAATGTGATGTAAGGTTTAATAAAAATAAATACCGCCTTGCATAAAAACTAGCAATATGTGTTTCTGATGAAAATCTAATTCAGCAAGCATTGGTTGAAAAGACTAAAGCAGGAAAGCTGAATATGACTCAAAATTCAAGTTTCTCAAGTGTGTCTTAGTTATCATCTATACTACCAATTTCTGAAAACATTGGCACTGTGAATTGTCAACGTGTGCCTCTAGGATTTAAGCTGATGCAGTGATCCAGGGGCCAAGTTAATACCTGCTCCCTGACACCTCTAGGAGTTGTTTGTACCTCTGGCTAGCTTTATGAACCTTATGTGAACATTGATGATATTGTTTTCTGGAAAGCAGAAATTAAATTTTTTTTAACTTGTTAAAACATTTTGAAGATACTTGTAAATTGTCAGGGTTTCCAGCATATGGCCTCAAGGATTTTTGATTTTAGGCATTTATTTTTTTTAATTGCTTAACAACCTTAAAATAACTAATTGGTGACAAAAGGAAAGGAAACAGATTTTCTATATAGTGTGGTTATACACTGAGGAAGTAGGTGGCAGTAGCCAACTGGCTGATTGTAAATTACCCAGAAGAATGTTCCTTTGACTAGAGTTTATTTTTTAAATTG